AACCCCAAAACCCCAAAACCCCAAAACCCCAAAACCCCAAAACCCCTTTTATTTCCCGAATTATTGAATGGAAGGAGAAATCAGATTTTTTTAAATCTCCAATTTTGGGCATCTAAATTAAAGAAATTAAAAATACATCTGAGTGAGATCATAGCTACTTTTGATGGTATTTCGGAGTTGGGTGGTGGAGGTTTCTAGACATCTCATTTGGCTCCATACTTCTGCCAAATTCTCCACTCGCAAAGGGGTTAAAGTTGGTTTTAAAGGAGGAATTGAGATAGCTTTTGAATTCCTGTGATTTGTCCTGCATAAATTCTCTACTAGCAAATCCGATCTGGTCGTCAATGTGGTCGAAAGCACCAATTGCAGCCCCGATGGATTCAATAGATGGCTTGGGTCTGTTGTTGAAAGGAGCGGTAATTGTTGGGGTTACGTTGCTCGAATTATTTCCGAAAGGATACAATGAATCCGAACCTTTTTCCTCTGGCTTCTTTACACTAGCTCCAATTTGGCTGAAGAGTAGCTGAGGCTTCTTTTCTTGAGCGGAAGCACTAGGCATTTGAGGACTTCTATTTATTAAAGAAGGGAATTTTTGGGTAGGGGCAAATGGAGAATCATTGCCCTGGTCATTTTTGTCATCCCCATTTAGGAAATCAAAAGATTTCTTGGACTCTCTTTTAGCTTTGATATTATTAAATTGTGTACTCTGAGGAGCCTGAGTTGGTATAGGTTGAATTGGCTGAGGAGATACCTTAGCAACTGGTTGGGCTTTAGACCTGGCCTTTCTTGTCCTTTTATTGCTTTTACCAATAGATTCTGTATAATTCCCGTCATTCTTGTTATCTTTATCCTTAGCATCATTATTTTCGTCGAGTACTACCTTAGTGGTATGGACTTCTCTCCTGACATGCTCATCTTCAAGAGCGTCAACTTCATAGTTAAAATCTTGTACTTCTTTATCTCTCCTCTCTTCGAAGGGAGCTAGTAAGGTCATGTTATAATAATTTATCCTTTTCAGTGTCAGAGTTACTTGGGGTTTACTACTTGATGCGTATTTTGCATAAGTATCATAGTGGTTGTGAGCAAAGAAAGTCTCAAAAATTTTGAAGACATCATTCTCATTTAGATCTTTATTTTACAAACATAGCACTTGTGCTAAGGTAGTCAATGAAATCATTCCTGTTCATTACGGTCTCCTTGAGATAGATCGCCCATATCAAAATCTCAAAATCGTTGAGCATTAATGTTTTACAAACGTTGACCATCTCCTTGAGGATTGGCAGGGTTGAAAGGCTAGGGTCATTATCATGAAAACTTTTTGATAATCTTCTTAATAATAGGAGGGAACTTTGAGAAATTCCCTCGTTTTCATAATTCAATCTTAAATATTCATATTTTGTAAGATAAGTTTCAAAGTTTTGAGATGTTGCTCCTCCTTCATTAGCATTTGCTCCAAAATGTCCTTCTTTTTGGCCTCCAAAAGTGGCGGCTCTCTCTCTTGTTGATGGATCATTATGAGAAAAATGGTTATTGTTCATATTCCTACTATTATTAAAACAAATAATATTTAATCTATTAGAATTAAATGGGGTTTTGGGGTTTTGGGGTTTTGGGGTTTTGGGGTTTTGGGG